GAAGTGGGAGGGGAGCTGTTGCATTGTAAATGTTGGTCAATGACATGAGACAAAGTATATTATGTGAACTGCTGTATGAAAAGTGAATTTACGCTGTAAATCTTCACCCAAATCAAAATAAAATTTAAAAAAAAAATGTGGGAAAGTATTTGACAAAATTCAAATTTCATTTATGGTTTGGGAAACAAACAAACAAAAAATGACCCTCTTGGCAAACCTAGACTAGAAGTAAAGTTGCCTCATGGGGTAGAATGAACATGAAACTTAGTGGAAAAAGGCTAGGTACCTTCCCTTTAAAATCAGGAACAAGAGCAAGACATCTCCTGTCCCTACACCTCTTCGAGATTGTGCAATGAGAAAAGAAGTTAACAAGTATCAGGCTTAGATCAGAAAAAAATGAAACTGTCACCTTGCCAGATGATGTGACTGCTTACATAGAATGTCAAGAAAATAAAAAAATATTAGAAATAGGAAGAGTTTAGCAAAAATCAATTTGTATTGCTCTACTCCAGCAATAATTAGAAACATGATTTTTAAAAATGATACCATTTACAATGGCCACAAAAATACTAGGTACATAGGGATACATCTCAAAGAGAAAAGAAAAAAAATCAAGAACAAGACGTTTCTGAGGAAACTTTTTAAAGATTTTATGGAATGGTATAGAAGACTTAAATAAATGGAGGGATATACTATATTTATGGATGGAAACATTCAGTTATCATGAAGATGTCAATTCTTCCCAAATTAATTTATACATTCAAAGCAATTTAAATCAAAATCTCAACAATATCAATTTTGGGAAGGGTAGTATTTAAACTGATTCCAAAATTGATATGGAAAAATAAAGAATGAAGAATAGTCAAGAAATTTTTGATGAAACATAAACAGATGAACCAAAATCACAATAAAAACTTAGATAAATAGCAAAAAAAAAGAAAAAAAGAAATGAAAGGACTTGACTTATGAAATAACAAGACTTACTATGACATTACAATTAAGACCACACTATGAGTCAGAATTGACTAGAAGCAACAGGCTTTGTTTTTGTTTGTTTGTTTGTTTTGGTTTAAAATTATTGCTAGAATAGACAAACAGACCAAGGAAGCAGAACACAAACCCCAGAAACAGGCCCCTGAGTACACTGAAACTTGATTTATGACAGAGGTGGTGACAGTCAATGGGGGAAATGGTTTATCAATGAACAGCAATGGGCAAATTGGTAGTCCACATGGAGAAATAAATAAAATAGATTCCTACCTTACACATTTCACAAAATGAATACCATGAAGATTCAAAACCTAAATGTGGAAACCAAAATTCCAAACCTTTAGGGAAAAAAATATATATATAAGAGAAGGAAGGATTTCTTTCAAAAGGTACAAAAAGCATAAACCAAGAAGGAAAACACATATATATTTGACTAAAATAAAATCTAAAATTGTTGTTCAGCAAAATACTGGATAAACAAAGTGAAAAGTAATCATTAGTAATCAGAACACACACATTGCAACCACATTGGGAGTACTACTTCTTGCATACCAGATTGGAAAGCATTTTATAGTCTGACAGTGCCAAACATTGGCAAGAATTTGGAGCAAAAGAAGTCTCCAACATTGCTGTGCAAGTATATATTAATCCAGTCACTTTGGAAAACAATTTGGTGTACTCACCTGCTCACCAAAAAGTTGGCATTTTGTGTCCACCCAGAGGTACTTTAGAAGAAAGACCTGGCCATCTACTTCTGAAAAATCAGCCATCAAAAGACTTTATCGAAAGAATGAAAAACACCCTACAGACTGGTAAAAATTCTTCAGGAATGACATATCTGATAAAGGTCTAATCTCTAAAATATATAGAAAACTTCAACAACAAAAAAGACAAACAAGTTAAATAAAAAATGGGCAAAAGACATGAATAAACACTTCACCAAAGAGGACATTCAAGACACTAACCAACACATGAAAAGATGTTCACAATCTTTAGCCACCAGAAAGATGCAGAGCTAAGCAACAGTAAGATCTTCATCATTGCTAAAATGGCACTGATCAATAGAAAACCAGAAAACAGTAAATGATGATGAGGATGTGGGGAAATTGGAACCCTTATCCACTGCTGATGGGACTATAAAATGGTACAACCACTATGGAAAATGGTATGGTGCTTCCTCAAACACCTAGAAAAATCGTAATATCTTATGATCCAACAATTCCATTCCTAGGTATATGCCCTAGAAACCAATAGACGTGACATGAACAGACATACACACACCTATGTTTGTTGTAGTATGATTCACAGTAGCAAAAAAGATGGAAACAATCTAAGTGCCCAATGGATGAATGGATAAGGAAAATATGGTACACACATAAACGGAATACTATGTAACCATAAAAATAAATAAAGGATAATGATAAGTCCTTGAAACATAACATGGATGGACCTTGAGGACATTGTGCTGAGTGAAATAAGTCAATCACAAAAGGACAAATATTGCATGATCCCACTTTTATAAAAAGACAAAAATATGTGTACATACAGAAACCAATGTTACCAGGGAGGGATGGGTGGAGAGAGAGGCAATCATTCTTTACAGAGTAGACACTTGTTGTTTTTGGTGATGAGAAAGGTGACACAATGTGGGTGAAGTATGCACAGATTGACCAAAGTAAATGATATCACTAAGAAGTACACACACACACACACACACACACAAAGGATGTATTTAGTAAATGCTAGAAAATACATCATTTTGCAAGAACCACCAAAAAATATATGTGTGGTTACATATGTACATATGCATACATATATGCACACAGGTATATATACACACATGCATGTATGTTCATATATGTAATGAAGGACATAGGAAACATAGTTGTAGATACTTCTTAGATATAACCAAACACTTTGCAGGATTGGTTTTCTGGGTTTGAAGACTTAGGACCATAAACTCGGTCAATTGGCATAATACGGCTCATAAAGTTAATGTCTACGTTCTTGGTTTGGTGAGTAGAGTCTGGGATCTTAAAAGCATGCAAGCAACCATCTAAGATACAACTATCGGTCTCTTCTCATTTGGACCAAAAGAGAAAGAAAGAAACCAAAGACACAAAGAAGAAACTAGTCTACAGGACTGACAGTCTACATGAACCACAGCCTCATCTACCCTGAGACCAGAAGAACTAGATGGTGCCAAGCTTCACTAATGACCATTCTCATCAGGGCCACAATAGATGAATCTGCATAGAAGGAGAGAAAAATGTGGACCACAACTCAAATTCTTAAAAAGGCCAGACTTACTGGACCAGTTGAGATTAGAGGACTACCCAAGACTATTGAGATACTCCATAAACCTTGAACTGAAACTACCCCCTAGCAGTAAACAATAACCCTTCAGCTAAATAAAAGATTGGCTCCTAAAATAAAGAATATTACCCGTGAGTACTGTGCATCTTTAAAAAATCATCTATATGAGATCAAGTGGTCAACAATTACTATAAAGAAAAGATGAAAGGGGAAGGGGACAGGCAAACCAGACTCCTGGAAGCAAAATATCCAGAAGGGAATTAATGAAGATGGTAACACATTGTGGAAAATGTAACCAATGTTTCTGAACAATACATTAATTGGGAACATGACCTGCTGTGTCAACTGGCACCAAAAACACAATAAAATATTATTAAAAAAAAAAACAAAACCTATGGAACATAGTTCTACTTTGACACACATGGGGTCGCCATGAGTGTCAACTTGCCATCAACTTGACAACAAATGGTTTTATTAAAGATGAAGGTATGCACAGCCTCTGACCCACTAATTCCATGCAGGATGTATACTGTTGAGAAATTCTGAAACATATAAATAGGGAGATGTGTGTGAGAATATTTGAAACAGCAGAGTTTGTGATGTGAAAAAATTGAAAACTACCTCAATGATTATAAACAAGAGAATGGATACATAATGGTATATTCACAAAAAGGGAATATTTAGAACTGTTCATGAATCAGAGCTGCATGTATCTATATGGATAAATCTAAAATACATAATGTTGAATGGACGATGCAGGTGGCAGATGCATTTGCAGAGTGACACCATTGATGCAAAGCTGGTTCTGCCAGCACTTGGCCCAGATCTGGGCATGTGTTCAGAAGTGTTAAAATGACCTGAGAATATTGCCATTATCATCATCATCATTGTGGACATGCTAAGGGTATTTTCACCTCCATTTTACTGACTGGAAATCTGAGGTCCAGAGGAATTAGGAGTCCCAGTGCCATGTGATAAGGAAGCCATGACTCCCAAAGCCCCTCCCTGCCCCAGTCCACACAATCCACACCTGACAGGATTTCATGCCCCGTTCCGAGCTGCCACACAGCATGTCCTTCCCAATGAAGTGCTGCTGGCCCCTCTTGAGCAGGAACCGGTATTTCTGATTGCAGATGTCGTTGTTTAGGATCTTGATAGCTACCTCCTGAAGACTGTAGGGGGCTGGCGTCGTGGTCACTGAGGCGGCTGTGGTATCTGAGGAGAGAGATCCTGCCTGGGCATTCCTGTAACTCTTCAGCCCATCTCTGTCTAGGAGTAGTCTGGATTTACTAATGTGGGAGGCAGGGACACTTTCTGTGATAATGCATAAAGGCCTTAACCCACAGTCCAGCTTTGTAAAAGCCCCAGCTCATTAGAGAGACTAAGCAAAGGTCTCCCAGGGTGTCGGGGAACATCCAGGTATTGAACGGAGGACAAGGAGAAATTTCCCCACAATTTCAGATTCCATAAGGCTGAGGCTAGGGGGCTAAGCACTGCTCCATGGCCACCCAACAAAGTGGCAGGATGCCAAAGTGACTGGCTATGAGGTACCCCTCTGGAAGGACTCCACAAAGAATCCTCAGATCTAGGACCTCAGTGTGGCACTGATAAGGGCCAGACCTCCAGGAATTAAGGGTGCCCTAAGGTGGTGTAGTGCCTAAGGCGTTTGACTGCTATCCAGAAGGCTAGCAGTTCAAACCCACCAGCCACTCTTTGGAAGGAAGGTTGGGCAATCTACCTCTGTAGTAATACCACCTCAGAAACCCAAACAGAGGTCACTATGAGTCGGGATCGACTTAATGACAGTGAGTTTGGTTTGGTTTTGTTTTTGAGGTAACCAGTGCACTTGATGGCTCAGACTTCCTGAAACCATGGTCCTTGTGCAAACTGCAGACAGGGAACCCCAATAATGGCCAAGGAATCATTTCCTGCCAATGCTGCAGGGTGGGAGCTTGGCATTGGATTTAACTTGACTTTGGGAACTGAGGTCCCTGCAGGCCACATGTCTCTTCTCCACTAGAGCACTGTGTATATCTGCATATCAACAGAGATCAGGACAGTGCCTGGGTACGTGCTCAGGAAATGTACTGGCTGAGTGAATGAATGGACAAAGGAATGGACTGCAGCATCCATGGTGGGACAGAGGAGCTGTGCTCTGAGGTGTCTTGGGCTCTCTGCCTGCCTTCACTCACCTTGTTTTACATGTCCCCACCCAGCCACCCAACACATGGAGCCAACAGGAAGCTTGTATTGGGCATCAGGAAGGCAGACAGGCTGGATGTTGTAAGACCAGGAGATGGGCTTCTGGAGCTTCAGGAGGGCAATGTCCTGGGATGCAAGATTGTTGAAGTTCTTGTGGATTATGATGTGACTGATGGGGAGCTGAGTGCCGTTTTCAGAGAAGTACCGGGCTCCCACCTTCACGGAGTACTGACTTTGGTTCTTGGATCTGCAGGGTTACAAGTGGGAAGTGGACCATCGGTAGGGAGCCTGAAAGTGGTTGGAGAGACATGGGCAGAGCACAGGGCCACCCAGCCAGGCCCTCTTCTCCCAGAGCCCCAGATTCACCAGTAGCCCTACTCCCTCTCCTCACCCATCCCCATTCCCCACCAGAAGGCAAAGTCCCAGGCCTGGCCAGCCACTCTAACTGACCTTTGTAGGCAGTGTGCAGCTGTGAGGACCCACTGCTCATGGAAGAGGGAGCCGCTGCAGACATACACGCCCAGGAGCAGGATACTCACCTGCCATGGCCACTTGCCTTCCTCCACCACCTTCCCCTTCACCACCCTGCAGGAGATGTGGGTCTGACCACAGACCCCGAAGAAAGGCACTGGGGAAAGAGAAGAGAGGGGTAGGGGGGTGCTAACCCCATGTAGACTCTCAGGAAGCCACAGGCAGCCCTCAGAGCCCCAAATACACAGACTATTAAGGCAGAGTCACAAGAGCCACTGCCACCTGCACATGTCAGGAGGGACTTTTCCACCACATTAAAACTGGCAACCTCAGACCCTACTGACATAAAATTAAGAGAGCTCTCAAAGAATGAGGCCTAGACAGCCTCTCCAAGGTTTGTTACAAGGCAAACAAGACATCATTAAGGACTAATCCCCTAGAGTTTATACAAGCAGACACTTGGCAAAGGGAGAATCATCAGAGGGGTGAGCCCTCAGCCTGGAGTAAGTGGCAAGGCTCAGCGAGCAGGGTGGCCTGACAAAATGGACAGTGATGCCTCACTGCACAACCTCCAGGCCAGCTTCCTACAGACCCCCACCTCTGTGACACACAAGGAAATGAGTCCTGATGCAAGTCCATCCCCTCCTAGCCCCTCACTGGTCCCAATATGCAGGGCCCTGGAGAGAGGGAATGAGAAGGGAGAAGGCTGCACTCAACTGGATATGAGATCGAGATTTTAAAGTGGACCAACTTCAACTGGCATTTCAACATTGAGCATCATGAAGTTAAGGAAAGGGAGGAAGAAGCTACGGTAAGATTAAAGAAAAAGAAAACAGGCTGTCTTGTCTATGTTGTTGTTGTTATGTGCCGTCGAGTCAGCCCTGACTCATAGCGACCCCTCCTTGGGTTTCCGAGGCAGTATCACTACGGAGGTAGGATTGCCCAACCTTCCTTCTGAGGAGTGGCTGGTGGGTTTGAACCGCCAGCCTTCTGGTTAGCAGTCAAGTGCCTTAGCCACTATGCTACCAGAGCTCCTATAGCCTGCTGTTAATAAATGTTTATATGCCATAGACCTTCTCACACAGGTTCATACCATCCCAGCTGTTGTGGTTAGGGTAAGTCTGGTTCTGCAGCTTGGAGTGTGGGGCCAAGCAGGGTACTGAGTGGCAGGGACTTGTCATTACCTAGGAGGGTCTGTGGGGGAGGAAGGGCAAGAACAACAACAGACAGACAAGGCTAAGAATCTAGGGTGACATATATGTATTAGTGGAAACATCTGTCCGGCCCAGGTTTGTAGAAATCCTTGGGGGGTAACCAACTGTTGATGTTTAAAATGTTTCATATTTACCATGCATCCCAGATTCCTGGTAGCATCAGGTATAAATGGTCTGCACCCTTGCCACAGACTTCCGTGCCTGGGTGCCTTTTCACCTCAATCAGCAGCCTTCCACGAGGGCCCCAAGGCTTCCTCACAGACCCCACTTCCCTCCATGGAAGGCTCTGTTTTGCCCTCTCACTCTCAAGGCTGTTCTACTTTGTCTTCCCCACGGGGGGCCACACCTCAGGCCTTTCTCATATACCTTTTTGTTTCAGACTAGAGGCTGCCCTAATCCACACGGGGAGGAAGGATAGTTTCCAGAGGCTGCCCTTCCCTTTCTCCCAAAGCAGAGGCCTCACGGAGCCGGGGTTCTGCAGACAGAACACCACCACCTAAAAACCAATAGCTCTAGGAGGCAGGGTTGGCCTTCCCTCTTTGCTCCTCTCCCCAGTGGGTTTCCCAGGTCTCTGAGAAGATCACCCCTCAGAATTCACGTCCAGGATAATGTTGATTCTCATTCCCTTCCCAAAACCTTACGTCGGATTTGTAGGATACAGTCTGGAGATGCCAGCACCAATTTCAGTAGCCGTATCTGGGGGAGCCATGAGAGATTAGTTGGAGGCCCAGAGGGTTGTGAATCAACCTTGTCATAGGCACAGTATCACCATTCAATACAGCCAGACACTCAGTGGCTCAAACTGATTTGCCCCACAGATTGCCTCCACAACCCCTACTTGGAGACCCAGAGTCAGAGGTGAGAGGCATCACCATTTACAAGCCATGCTCTGATGTCATCTCTTGCACTCACATGTGTCACAGGAAGACACATATGAGCTTCATAACCTCTGTTGGTATAAGGTCAGAGTTCCACACCCATCCCCACATTATCACCCACACAGCAGTCATTCAGCTACAGGGAGCAGTACACATCCACACCACCCTAAAATGGTTAGGCAGTGTAGACCACTCAGTAGGAGACCATCCCTCCATTCACTCATCCATTCACTCATTGGTGCACTGTTCTAGGACTCAGAGTCATGTATTGATGGGAAAAGGCAAAGTCCATGAGTTAGGGAACATGTCCCCACTCCCAGATGCCACCCCAGCATGCTATCTGACAAGCAGTGATAGATGACCCAAGCCAGGGCTGCCACCACAAGATTATGTGTGGTGGTCAGTTAGGGTGGGAGTTTGGCCTTCCAAACTTTTCACCCCCAGAGAGTCACTTGAAATCTGGTATTGACTCCTGACTCCATCATTTATAGGTCATGTGAGCTCTCTGGGTCTGAGTTTTCTACAATGAAATAGGGATACTAGTAATGTCCACCTCACAGGGTATCAAGTGTAAAGTCACCTGAACAGGGCCTGACATGGGATGAGCAGTCATTCACACATCACCATCATCACCATCATCATCACAAGTCCTGGTTTTCCTAAGATTTGTCTCCCAAAAAAGCTCACCTGTTCCATGGATGTTAATTTGTCCCTTTATTCTTAATAAGGCTATTCTTTCATGCGTTCATGGTTACCCTGCAGGCAGGAATGGCCCCCTCACCTCACACAGTCTGTTGAGGACATGCCCATTAGGGTATGGATGATGGAGCACTTCAGGTAGGGGCACCCCAGCAACAGATCCCTCCTGCCTCTCTTCCATGTCCCCAAGCCCTACCTTCCTGGAGGCCTTCATGTCTGGCAGGAGAATAGGCAGACGTGAGAAGGCCACCCTCACAGCCAGACTCACTTGGCATCGCAAGCAGGTGTCCAACCCTTACTGTCCTCATAATGAGATATGGGGGAAGGGCAAGCAGGAATCTCCACTCTTCAAGGATTCTAGAACTCGTGGTTTGTTCATTCATGGCAGCAGGGTGTGGGCCTCTGTCTCAGGGCTGTTGGGCTCACCCGTTGGGCAGCAGGATGCTGTGGCCATGGCAAGGCCCAACTACAGCCATGAGGTGATGCTGCTGCTTGGTACCTCCCTGGATAGTGCTCCTGATGCCCAGCTTGGAACCGGTGGCAGCACCTGGCATCTGGCCTATGACAGTGACTCCTGGACCTAGCCCTCAGCCGTGCACTGATGCCCAGCCTTGGCTTTGATGGTGCCCTGTACCAAGCTCCAAGTCAGCCTGTGACAGCACCACATGTGTGGCTTATGTCAACTCCTGGGTGCCTAATCCATGAAGCACCCCTGTCCCCCGGTCCCTGTGCTCCTTTATGAAGCCCTTCTCATGGCTTCTCTGGAGGTGTGGAAATGGAGGCACTAAGAGGGGGATGACTATTCCTACAGAGTATGACTGAGGAGCTCTGGTAGCGTAGTGCCTAAGGCACTTGACTGCTAACCAGAAGGCTGGTGGTTCAAACTCACCAGACACTCCTCGGAAGGAAGATGGGGCAATCTACTTCTGTAGAGATACTGCCTCGGAAACCCAAGGAGGGGTTGCTATGAGTCGGGTCCGACTCGATGGCACATAACAACAACAACGACTGAGTTAAGACTGGTTTTCCTTTTTCCCAAAGTGTCTAGTAGAGGGAGGCCAGGTGTGTATTTGGCTTAGGAAAGTGACTTCCAGAGAGGAAGGTGACGCCCATAGCATCTTGCAGGTCTTCATGAATCACCAGGAAAAAATGACATCTTGGGACCCTCCCCACCATTCCATTGAGGTCCGCTCCCCAAGCCCCACACTCCCCACACTATCCATGAGGAACAGTTCAGTCTTACTCCACCCCATTCCCAATGCTGCTTAGGACATGGGGTGATGGGGCTGCTCACACTGCTGGAAGAGATGAACTACACAACCATGGTGCAAAAGTGTTACGAATCATCTAGGAAAGCAAAAAATGTGCCTACCCCACAACCTCGTAGTTCCTCCCCGAAGTGTATGCCCTGGAAACAGTCATGTACATATGCAGTGGGAAGGACAACCAGGCTGTTCACATCAGCACTGTCAGGAAGAGCCCCAACTGGAAACTTCCCGGTTGCTCTTGAAGGCAGGACGGATGCACGAAACACTCGACAGCCAATGAGGATGGATCATCTATTGCTACACTTAGCTACATGGTGAATCTCGTGAACATATTGTGGAATGAAAGAACTGGAACACAAAAGGGCACATAGTCTATGAAATTCAAAGACAAGAAAACAACTATTTGTTGGGATACATGCTATGGTAGAAAATCAAGGAAATAATTATCCCTGAAATCAGACTTCCTCTAGGAGAAAGAGGGATAGAGAGACCAATCTCTTGTAATTTATATGTGTGCATATAGGGAGATCTGGTGGCGTAGTACCTAAGGCATTTGACTGCTAACCAGAAGGCTGGCGGTTCAAACCCACCAGCCACTCCTCGGAAGGAAGGTTGGGCAATCTACTTCTGTAGTGATA